ACGTACTGTACTGTACAGTACTTAGTCCACATACTGTATACTGTAGTACAGTATAGTACAGTATGACACTTGTACAGTACAGTACAGTACCGTACTTAGTGTACACAACCCTGAATGAGTGTTTTGACCAAATCGACCCTTTACTAGCTTCACCCATCACGCTCGACTGTACTGTGTAGTATACCATAGTTGAAGGATTCTACTATGGCCAATGAGTGGAACATTCAATCGAACTCTTGGTAGTGAGTTTATCCAACGCTAAACACATTGCGTCAGCAAATCGAGATTATTTTCATACGCCAAACCTCCTCCAACCATCGTCTTGGGTCATGATTTACCTTGGCCAAAATTGGCGATGAAATAGGAACCATGTTGAACAGTAAATTATTCTATCTTGGCTATATTATCATTGGAGTCATCTTATTATTCAGGTTGGTCCAGAAAGGATGATCGAGTCGACATAGCAAAGGCCAGTTGTTTCTGATACTTTCTCACTGATGCTAGCACAACATTACAATGGATTGGCTTTGAATTTTTAAATTTGAAAAGCCTACATCATCCATTCTACAATTTCCATGGTAGATAGACATGCTATCATTGAGTAGAAAGTCATATCTCTATCCAACATTGAGTGTACAATTGTATCAAAAGTTGCATTCATTCTACTTTGACTTCATTCAATGACATGATGGAGGTAGAAAAAATGCGCTAGATTAGACCTGACAGAGAGATACAGTATATTATACAGTACAGCGTATACTGTAGACTAGAGAGAGATGAGCTGGACATACTCGGCAGCTCGATAGGAGTAAAACAGTAATTTACCCTAAGAGAATGGATACAGTAGAGTATAGCACTGGTATTCATTGCCTAATGGCCCCCTAGGTGATTGCTCATAGGATGCCACTTGATGAAATGATATTGCAACAATGTCGACGGTAATCTTGCCATACTCGGATACTTGTTGACCTCAATTTGCTTGATTCTATTGTAGATTATTACGATGGTGTTTGATACAGTATATTTATCGAAAATTTGCCATCAAACTGGTTATTAAAGGTTGTCGCCTCTTTCGATTAAAATATTTAAGCATTGGTTATGGCCAACAAGCAGCAGTAAGTAGGATTGGAGCTCACTTCATCTTGCTTATATTTAATTCATTCTATTCTCTCTAAAAAAACAAAAACACACGCTATTGATTTCATTTCGACATAAATCCATGCAATCATCATCATTCATGACTCAAACGAGCTCAACATCTTATTCTAACAAAATTTTCTCCAACAAAGAAATCCATTTAATAAAGTATCATTGCTTTTTCAATAGATTCTTGAAAATATCTGCTTTCATTTCAATTTTGGTAGAGATACTTCCAAAAAGTAAGTTGAATTATTGACACAATCTTCCATTTTATGTATAACTCAAGCCACCAATGAAGAATCTCGTAAAATCATGACATTCCAATGAATTCGATCCATTTTTGGGTCATCAGTAGATTGCTAAATCATAACTTGAAATAAAGTCAATTGCAATTTCTTTCAATACAGTCACCTTAATCAGCAACAATAACATATACTGTAGACTGTATTTAGTTATCGCTTATTTTGATGTACTGCCTATACCTAGCAGAGTGATGCATACCTTACCCAATTTCATAAAACGGATCACAACTTAATTTCTTTATAATAAGCCTCATAACCATCAATCTTGCTGTTTGCAAACACAATATTATCGACAGCTTTTTTCTATTGTATTATCTCATATTGCAATTAAAACGAATTCTAAGAATGTTTTTCTATCTATCTATCTATTCATTACATAGATGGTTCTCTATTGTAGTAGATAAATTAGAATTCAATTTAATCAAAAATATTAAAATACAGCAAGATGAAACACCAAGCAATCAAGAAAAGGAGACAAATGAGCAATATAGTAATAAAGCCAAGCCATCCAAAGGTTTGTTATATGCCAGCTTCTTCTTCTTCTAATGTATGGTAACTACAGTGGCGCATAGAATAGCCTACAGTAGTTCTAGATAATAATATGTATGGTATATAGGCACAGCCAGTATTGACAACAAACTTTTAGTGCCTTGGTGTGTGATGATAGTCTTTCCAACAGACTCAAAATTCAGGGTATAGACTCTGACGTTAATGCATCGCCATTGTGAAACCAGGGACTTCTCGATTGTTTCTTACCCCAGGGGTAAAAAAAAATTGAAAAAGTCCCTGTTCAAACAATGTACATTAAGTATGCAAGGTATGAGCATCAACACTGCCTTGCCTTAACATTACAATGTCACAATAATCCAAGTAGCATGTTCAAATGTTAAATCCCAATGAATTTTCTCACACTGTGCATTCATTTTATATTTTACAAAAGTGGTTACAGAAAAGAGAAGACAACTATTATCCAGACTTATAGTGCTCTTAACAAGCAAGGTAAAATAGAAATTAATTTATCTGTGTACATGTAACAGTTCGTTAACTAGTTAGGATTACATTATGGAGCAATTGAGTGGTGCCATACATACCTTACTACGCTTATTGCTTGTTATAAACCTATACAGGCGTCCAAATTATCAAAATTGATTCGTTCTCACTATCCTTGCCTTCATTTGTAGTCACGATACACGATAATTTAATTAGTTATCAATTCATCTAAATTTTACCACTGATATAATAATATTCATACTATCGTTGTGTACAACGCTGACAACGATGATTATGGTGTCAAAATTCAATACAGTATTTAGCTAATTAATTAATTATTGATCATTTTTTGTCTTGGGTAGTGTCTAGACATCGATATTAAACAATTAACTTTGAAGATATATAGAGAAGCTTCTCCGAGTTTATATGCGGAAGTAGTTGTCCTTGATGGAATCAAAATCTTCGCTTCAGTTGCAGATCGACGACGGTAGCATTATCTTTATTCCATTGACAATGTGCTTGTTAAATCAAAGTGTAGAAAAAGATGTTTATTTTTCAGTTAATTTTCTATTCTAGTAATAAATATACAAATTGACCTATTTATTCAAGAATTATATATAATATATGTTTTAACGGAGACTATTTCCGCCTTCTAACCATAGGACTAGCATTCTTAATATGCACTTATCAAGCAAGCGACAAGTTACCAAACTATATTCTATGCAAGGCTTGCAATGGTCACCTAATGTTAGTGATAACATCATGCAGTAGTTGCATTTTAACACTTGTGAACATCTTTTGATATAGAATTATCTGTGTTTTTGCAAACATATCAATATTGTTGTTAATATCTAGCTTTGTCACAATTATGGTAATATCATATTAATTGATAATATTTCTATGTCAACTTGATAAAACTGGTGATAAATGAAATTTCAGTTTAAAGTTGACGACATTGCGAAGCCAATGGCAGAAATGTCGGTCCATATTGACGTAGATCTAATAATAGAACCTATGGCAGGTATAGGTTCAGCGGTAAGTACCATATTTGCATATATAATTTATAATATTGGTACATATTGTAAATACATTAATTTTTAAGGAATGTATTGCTCAATTTCATCATGAATATTTGATTAGTACAGTATACAGGCAAGGTTTAAAGTGAAAACTAATTCTTTATATTATCCAATAACGCAGGAACTAAGAATAAAACTAGATAAGATCGAGATAGTTGTTGCCGAAGGTATGTTAGAATATTGTTTAGATGTGCTTTTGTATTTTTATACAAAATTAGAGTATAATTGAAATCAATACGTTTACTTCATTTTCAATGTATTACCCGCAATACAAATTTCGTTCGTAACACACGTATATATTGATAAAATATTGTAATAACATAATTTTTATTTTAGAATCTTTATCATTATTGGCACCAATATCTACACCCAGATCAAGTAGCCAGACAGGTATTATGCTATGTATTGAAATTAAAATTATTAATAATTAGAAATAAAGACGTGATTGAATTGTTAAATATTACAACCTATGACATTTATAAGGACTGCAATCTATTTATTCATTTCGTATCTAGTATCTTGTGTGAAATGGTCAACAGATTGCATATAACTCTATTATAGCTACAATTACACCCCAACACTCATGATGTATTTTAATAATATTTTTTTCTAATTTTCTATTTATGGAAATTATACTGTAATTCATTAAAATGGCACCATTAGCCACTAATCGTGAAGTCAATAATGAAAGTGATCCAAGTAGCCCTTTGCAGAATCTTTACAGTAAACTTCCAAAGGTTGGTCATTTTGCCCAATTCTTGACATAACTTAGGCTTTAATTTTTTGTAGTAAATGTATTTGAATTTAGAACAAATTGCTTCCTAATTACAGTCAATAGACTTATCAATATGTCAAAGTAATGCCACATTGTCGACGAAATCTTCCAAGCGGTAATGATATCTGTTATCCTATCCACTCTCCTTGCTATGGTTGCTAGATCTATCATGTACTGTTACACATTCGTAGAATCATTGTATGTCACTAACTTTATTTTTAAAATTCTGATATATTCTTGTAGGTGTCTCCAAGTCGCATTAGATGTATTTTCAGCTCGCCTATCTAAAGATAAATGGGAAAAAAATCTTTCTTTGCCCGTTTTTAGTGCATCACTAAGCCTTAATGGTTAATTCGCAATTACTGCTTCATTGCCATATTTAGAAATTCTTTTATACTTCTATCACTAACTTGTTTTGATTTTTAGGCCTTCAAGTACAAGAGAACATGTCGAATGAGATTTGTGTACTACAAAGACTTACTACGTTCGCTAGAACTGAAATCTGTGATGATAAGCTAAAGCTCGCTGTTGGTGGTGATATAAGTACTATATTTTTTAAATATTCTGCAAGTAGTATACAGTACTGGCATCATTTATTGCCAAGAAGAGAAGTTAAAGAAATCGAGAATAGCAGCCAGAGTGATAGAATTGAAATCAAGTATGTGAGAACTTTGAATGAAAGTACTTGATAATTATCATTTGTAACATAAATTGCAATGCAATTTTTTTGCAGGACTGCACGTTCAACTGCCTTAGAAAGAATTGTACAAGAACTACTAATAACCGTTAATATTACCCTTGCTGATATTACCTTTGAATTTGATTTCCGTACTGATACGAGTAAACCATCTCACTGTACCCGTATTGTTATGGGATCATTAAACACTGTTGCAGAAGTGCCGGAAGCAAACCGTTTAAAGTACTTAAGCAAATAAAATTATACCTTGTAAACTCTTGTAAAATGCTATTCTATACGCTTTCTAATAACCATACAATCTTGTTGTTAACACTTTCATCAAGGATTGATTTTGGTATGGAGAATTTACTGGTAGAGACTAACAAAAATAGTGAAATTTTATACGGAAGATTACGGAAAAACAACACTTTTGTACTGCCTCAAAGTAGGAAGCACGTTTGGGGCCGCGTAATCTCTTTTGCGAATCTTCAGGCTCAGGTTTAAAAAATTGTAGTCAGTAGCAATCATAATACTGTAGTTCTGCGGCACTGTCTATATTATACTCTGAGAGCGATGAGATTAGACATATTTATATATATATAGTCATATTTAAGTACCAATTATATATGTTAATAGTATCAATTAATCAATACATATTAATATTTTAGGCCTTCGCACATATACATAGTGGAAAGCTGCACTCGATTACAATTAGTAGTCAAGCTACAGCACCTTGCATAGAATTTTCAGAGGCAGTCGAAGACTTTATAACTATGGCTAAAATATACATACCTAAATCGAAATCAGCTAACAATACCCGTATAAAGAGCGATCCTAATAATAGGACAAGTACAATCATTTTTATTAGCCTCTTTTCGCATACGTGGTTGGTATTTAACACATACGAGTAACCGTAAATTACTATTAATTTCTTTCTAGATGAGAAGATAATTGCTGAAATGAATATTAAAATTACAGATGTTAATCTATTTTTATGCCATTATAACAAAGGTACATTTCATTTTACCGTTACTGGTGATTTTATCTTGTATGATACATGGAATAATGGTTCTTTTATCACCGTTTATTTCTATATTTCTTAAATTTGTCATGATTTAATAGATACTGGATTCATCGAACTATTAAATCTGTATTAATGTATAGATTTTCTGTATTTCATGCTGTAGATATCAACCCAATCATGCTTAGAATTGATGATGCATTATTCTTGAACAACTCATCTGAACCTTTAACATTTAATATAAGCGGAATCAAATGTGCTACTATTTCGAAGAAAGATAAGGTATTGCGTTTTAAAAATTTGATTTGTTGCACTTGTGATTTACAACTGGCATGACTGGTGTAGGAAAATAATACATTCAAACGGGAAATGGCGAATGCTATAAAAATGGGATTTTTAGATTGTCCATCTGTAAGAGTAACGAAAGATCTCGATGTAAGTTGTCTTGATATGTACTAAGGAAATTACCAAGCGTCGTACGTGTTTTAATGCCAATTTTTTTTAAATTAGAATATAAACATTGTCCTAACAGAATTTATTGTGGATTGGGACCCAACTACACATAGATGTATCGCAGACAATATAACCTATGCAGTATCAACAATCAAGCAAATCAAAGGTCTTGAAAAGACATTAGAATAATATTGCAGCAGTAGTGATCAATTACCACCATAAACGTACTTCGTAACGTAGATATATATAATCCATTGCGTTGTGTATTGATCTTGCTGTTTCAACCGAAATATTTGACATGTACGATGTTCGCAGAGTATCGACAAGGATCTACTAAAGAATCTACTTCGACAAAGAATGATGTACAGACAAACACTTCAACTGCCATATCTAAGAAATTCGTAACTTTAGACCTTATAGCTGTAAATATGAAATTATCTGAAAGAACAACGTAAGTTTCGCTGTTGCTATCAATACGAATTTATAGCCGACTGTGCCTTTACAGTCATACTCTACTTTCTTCCGCAATTGATAACTTAAATCTATTTCATTTTAGAACTACATGGAAGGCAACTGCGTTAAAGTCAATTATTGTCAATACTGACAATTTCACTATATCTAGTAAAACACTGTATTGGAATTTGGATGGTAACGATATATTTTCATTCGAGGTACAGTATGTTAAAATTGATTTTTAAATTACTGCCATAATAGGTACTGTAGCTTCCTGTTATGATAGTACTATATTGTACTTTATTTTTAATAGACCGTTTGCATGACATCGACACACGAAGACCAAGAAATGCAAAGCCTGCGCCAAACTCTTCCCAATTTGACTAATCCTACTAACAAATCTTGGTAAATAGATTTTTATAGTTGGCAGTGAAACGGGGTATTTGTTTAATTAGATATATTTAACTGCATATATCTAGGTGTTGGTCTGTTGTCAATGCAAACGCGTTTTTCCCGTTTGCGTATAACTTTGGTGTGGCCTTTAGCGATGTGAGTGCTATTAATTTCTAGCAGCAACGCCATTAGCTTTGTTTTTCGGCTGATATTATAAGCAATTGATAAATTTTTGAAAATTAAGTAATGTCTTACATAAAATATTAGTTCACAGGTATCATAAAAATGTTGAGAATCCTTCATAAACCGTCTAAAAAGCCGGGAGCAATTGAAAAATTACCTTGGGACTTGCTAATAAAGTTTGAGGTCTGATAAACGATACTTTATCAATTCGCACACATTACGTCCATCCCACCTTAAATCTGACTGATCATTTGTCAAATTTACATGATATTAGAACGCAAATTTCAGTTGCGAAGATGATCCGTTTGAAGTTAAACTTGGAGAGAACTACGCGGTACATACAAATCTATTCAAGATTTCTCAATTATAGTTATTATACGCGTATTCATGCATAGTTTTTGAGGAGAAAAGATAAAATTATGCGTGTAAATGATACGATAGCAACTCATAATTACAATGATAAGTTTATTAATTTAGTTCTTTAAATCAACAGCTGCTTCTAGATGAGGCGGATCAATGCACTCAACGTGAGGAGCTATTAGAGGCCAGGCTAGATAAAATCCGCAAAACCAAAGGAGAATTCATTCCCGGTAATGTTTAATTTAAAACTTGCACTATTTTAATTCTTACTACCAGTTTAATATATTTTTGTGATAATTAATATTTTTTAGTAAAAAAGATTGAAGAGTTATACAGAAGTTTGCATGAAAAGAACGTACAAATTTATTTGCAAAGATCGAAGGTCTGCATACATAGTTGCTTTATAGCATTAGTAATTTAGCCTTGATTAACTGTATATCTATCACAGAAACTACATGGTAGCCCACTTCGAAGAAATTTATTTTCATGGAAAGGAGAAGACCTGCGAATATTTGCATTTGCTGATCCATCAATGCATGGAAAAGAAAATATTGTATCATGCATGAGGCGATTAGATCCGAATAGGTAAAATGTAACGCCGTTACAACGATTGTAGATTTCCTTTTATTCATGTTCCTACTTAATTATGGGATCATTACTTGTAAAACCCTATCGTAGCCCGTATCCAGATTCCGATCCTGATTACTCCACATTATGGTGTCGCCTAATACATATTGAATCTAAAATATTAAATATGCCGGTTCGAGATTATCCTCAGTCAATAATAAATATTAAAGGTTTCAAAGTTGACGGGATGCTAGCTGGCGCAGAAGTAATACCGCCTGATCGAGGTTAGCTACATGTAAATATAGTACTAGATGTGAAGTGGTCGAATTGTGGTCATAGTATGGTATCGTCAACTCAGTCGTAATGTCATATATGCCGTGCTGCGAGAAATTATTATTAAAAATAGATATATATGGTTTGTAGCCACTTATACTAGTACCATACATATTGGCCAACCATGGAATGATATGGAAATAACACGCCGGATGCCCCCACAGAAATACTACTATAACTTAAAGATTGGTAAATATTATAACATTCATATTAATATAATGTTTCTATTTCTACAGTCATTCTATTTTGCCTAATTGCAAATTGTAGATGTTGAACACTTAGAAATTGCTTATGGGCCATGTTTTAGCCCTGCATTGGCGCAAGTTGGCTTAGCTCTTGGTACCGTATGATATCTGAAAAGAATTTTACCTTTTATGAATGCGTGTTTCTCTCCTGGAAGAGATTTACATAATGCTCGATTAACCACATAACCTTTGATCTTCTATTTAGATTTGCTATCTAAGACCAGCCGTGACCCTAGTCCACGCTTAACCTGGTGGGACAAAGTAAGACTAAAATTTAAGATTTTAATAAAATTACAATATGTCGATATTGGATAACATATTAACCTTGTTATATCAAACCAGATGCGTTTACTATTTCATGGCCGAGTATCTATTTTCGCTAGTGCGCTACATTATTTCTGGCATGCATCATTTGATCCCTATGATAAGAGCGAAAGAATGGAAATAAGAGGAAAGAATGCGGATCTAGATTGGTTTAATGGTAATTTTATAATTTGTCATTCTTAATTATATAGAACTGATAACTCGTACTGTACATCTTCTGTTATTTGTAAGGTTAGTGGTACACAAATCTAACAGAGCTATTTCATTTCAGGTCACATCAATTTAATGGGTAAATTGAGATTGTTACTTCGGACTGCTTCTAAATATGATGATTGCTGCTTACTTAACGTACCACACATGGAAGCTGGGTACGCATTTCATGATTATTATTAAGCTCACTGACATATTATTATTGATAAAAGTACTAGAACGATTTGGCTGCATGTTATCTTAAATTCATAAAAATTATTAGTGCCGAATACTGTTGATTCTATACATAAAAAATGCTATCTTATTAATAGAATCGATCTTATATGGAATTGTCATGGCGATTGTAAAGATCATCATTCCGTATTGCCTTGCGCACCTGATAAAATTCCTGCTCATCAATCTGATAAGGTTACAAAGCTTTACGAGACATTTGAGAACATATTGTATATTGCATTAAGCTAATACGATTCTCTTTTTATATTCGTGCTGATGAACATATAGGCTTATGATTCGTATGCAGCCTTCAGATCTCGCGCTCTAAAAATCAAATTAGCCTTAAAGTTTATGGAAAAAGCAGCTAATGATACGGTAGTATTTAGTAATTTAATATGTACGTATAAATATCAAGGTAAAGGAAACTAAATTAAAATAATTAATATGCTTTTAAGGTTGGTAAAGCCATGAGCTCCATACCTGAATGTTACCTGTACGCTAGTAGCCTGAGATGGTTAGAACATTTTAAGGTAATACAGAAAATGTTGTATTTAGATATATATCCAAATGATCCAGCTTTCAAATATAATTGACCAAAGATTCTACTTTATTACCGCTTGTAGTTGGTCGTATTACATCATATAACACGTCCTGTCAGGCGCGGAAAACTATATAATAACGTTAGAGTTCGCAAACCGGGTTTTGTTCAGCACATCGAGTAAGATTAATGTTAACAACCTAATTTTTGTACCTTTAACAATAGCTACAGACCAAGAAGAAGTATATACTTGTTTTCGCTTGATACCAACCGTTAAATGAATACATTTAGTCTCATATAATTCCTAGTTAATAAATAATGATGCTATAATATCGGATAATGAATAAATGACATTCTTATGTCCTATCTATTTACAGCGTGTTAGATTTAGATGTTAGTTTCCCGAAATTAATGCTAACTTACAGCGGATCATTTGCAAGAAAAGTGGGTTTTCGTGCAACTTCAGCAAGGGGTCACCTATCAATTATGTTTCAACATGCTTTGATACCATACCAAGATGGCTTAATTCGACGTCCAAATAGTATTTGGACCACGTCAGAATCTGGATATGATATCAACGACGTTACGATAATGTTATGCGCAAATCTTAACAGCGATACCGTAAGCAATGTAGAATTAAATCTTCCCATTACAATATGCATATGATCATGTATATCGGAATACTAACAAAATCATGAATTTTTTGGATGTAAAACCTGTATAAATAGGAATATTTGTCGCCAGACTTTGTGGATTTTGATAAGGAGGAACATTTATTAAGTCTTAAAAGGTAGCATCCTTTTATTATTTCGCTTCTTGAACTCAATTCACTTTAAATGTAAACGACGATAAATATAAATTTAAATTTTCAATTTTTACTTCAGCTTAACATATCGCTACAATAACAAAGCAATACCCCCGAGCAAAGACGATACAAATCCATATACGCATACAATTAAGATAAATGATCTTAAAGCTTCATGGACAACATTCAATCGGGATACAGCTCTTAGTATATTTTGGGCAAACAAAAAATCGCAAGTATGATAATTACAAGACGTACTCGAGCTTATTTTACCATAAACTTTATCGAATGCCGATGATATTTCTATAGATTTAAGAAAATATTTCCGCGATATTAACATTGAATATTATTGCCTCAAACTAAAATACGAGAATAATGAAATTCCTAAATTATATTTATCACACAGACGCTCAAACACGATTTGTCTAGTGACTTTATAAAACAAATAAAGCATAGTACTGCCAAACCTGTTGTCATCACTGAGGTGAGTTTAGAGTAAGATCCGAAGTTAGTTACTGCTAATTGTAACATGATCTTGATGTGACTGTGTCAATTATCGTATATCGATAGAATGTACCGGAGCCTGAATCGCAAAGGTCATTTTCTGCAAATGAATCCAAGCCGTTCGGCAATATGCTTCAAGATTTATTGTCTGATCAATCCAATTTTGTAGTAACATGCGAAGATGAGGTTCTGAACTCTAATTCTAGATACAGCTTAATATTACGTCACAAATTGATTTTATATTAATTATCATCTTATAAATATATATTATAAATGGGTGCTCTGCGTAATTTTAGAAAAGTGATAATACTGCTCAAACGACGAAGAATATTTTACCAGATGAGGAAGACGTTCATCAACGACATATACTTAGTAAGCAAAAATATTTCTAGATATTTACGTTTGGTCCAATATTATGTATATAGCTTCATTGTAGCATGATAAAATGCCTTAAGACCTACTATACGCCAGCTGAATTCATGTAGCGAATAAGACCTTTGATTTCATCGCTAGTTGAAGCCGTCAATTCTCAAGTCATTTTAAAGGGAACCGAAACAAACGGTTGCCTTGTTACTTCGGCTGCAAATACCCGCTTATATCGCCTTATTCATACACCGCGGTGGCGGTCACATAAATTACTTTTAAAAACGTCATGGTCGGCCTTATTTGATAATATACAGGTATGCTATGATATGTTCAATAACTAGTTACACCAAAGAGATGCAACTATCAGTAACTATGTTTTGTAATATAATTCAATAGTATTTTGGTACGGTTGGAGGCAGTTACTATAAAACTGACGACATACCTTGGTTAAAGCCGTCATTGATTCAATCCAGAGGTACTGACAGCATGGATTCTATTGTATCAGAGGGTGTCGGTCACGTAGTTCACGATGTTGAGAAACGGCGTGGAGCCCCTAGAAAGTCAATAAGGTACATTAGTCAATATTGATTAGAACGATTATTCAATATATAGGCCTCCACGCTTCTTGCAGACTATTAGAAAATTTTATTTGTTAATGCAGTTTCTTGAGATCTACAAGCTTACTGGATAATGATGAAGACGATCTGGAAATAACAATCAGTGACGGAGATAATCTGGATGCGGTAACTGAAGAGGATGAAGATCAGGATCAAACGAAGATTGCAGTCCCAGAAATTGTGCAATTACAACGAATTATTTCACGTTGTAGCGCTCAATTTTCTTATATCAGTTATATGGATGAAGCTAGCAATGTACTAATGGAATCGGTAAATTGCTTATCTTCTGCACTTTATTTCGAGTTAATTGAATTCAAAGTCCGACAAAAATATTCTCATAGTAAAATTATTCGATTTGATTCAATGAAATGTCTAAAGCTTTAATTTTTTATAGCCAACGTATACCATATCCAACCAATCAGAATTAGAGCCTGCAGTTGATTCCATCAAAATTTACCATACATCATTAGAGATATCGACTAATTCGGTAAAGTATTTCTCAAATTTTTCGTTCTTTATGGGCTGATTATAATTGTTAGTATGTCAGATGGATTACTTCGTCAGTTCTCTGAATTGTACCTTTGATAGGCTCAATATGCAATGTTAATTGATATTGTGGAGAATTTCGTTTTATATGTTGAACCGAAAAAGAAGGTAATTTGTATAGGCTAAGCAACATAAAAATAAGCACTTATGTAAATGACGTATTATAATTATATATACACGTATGCTGATAACAGCAAAGTGACGCTATTAATTACTTAACATATTCCATTTACAAAATTTTAACGAAACTATGTTAATGAAATGATCTGAGTAAATTATTAAAAATCTTGCACTATCAGGAAGAGTCGGAATTGATAGAAAAGATGAAGTTTAAACTTCAACTTAATGAAGACGAAGACATTGGCACTCCTCTACTGCAATTACAGAATACGGTCCGGTATGTTACATAGCCTTTGGTTTTGTGTTCGAGTATGTAGTATCATTCGCTACACTTAGCTTAATGAAATTACTAATAAATTAACTGACCTACTGAAATTGTACTAGATATCAATTACGAACGATGAGAAAGTTAGAACGAGCTATGTTTTTAGCGCGGCAGCAATTAATACTACATGAAGAAGAGAAGGCATCAAGGTAACGGAGAAATTACTAGTAACGGGAAAATCTTAAATTTTGGTCGAACAGTTTACGTGTATTACATGTATAGTCAATGTAAAAAGTAGAGTCCTGATATTTTTTTTCCAAATAATCAGATTAACTGATCAAATTAAAGAATTAGAAGATGAAATCATAGAAGTTAAGGAAAATGTTGACATGGCATGTGATGAACTACGACTCATGATTACGTAAGGATGTTAGATATTGTAATCTTTGACAAGAACTCAAACAATATCAGAAAGCATCAGATTGACTTGTCTATGTATCGTTACATGGACTTCTATAACTGCCTCTCATTTAAATGTAGATCTTTAAAAGAAAGCAAGTTGTATTCTGGTATCAGCAGCCTCTCTCATAGTAATTGGATATGAATTATTAACTACTTAGTTTAGAGATACAATTTGTGACAGTTCTATAAAACTGGCATGATACTCATTAGTAAGTAGTTGTTATCAAATTTGTCATTTAGCTAATGTTTCTGAAGTCAAGCGGGTTGAAGTTTTATTTGGATCTGCTGGATGGTCACTCGTCCAAATTAATGGAAATCATAACGTGGCTAGTGCCGAACTCAAAAATTTTTGGTATAGTAATGATAAAATACCCCTACGTACCATTTACGAAGAAACTGAACAAAAAATCTAGTTTATTTAATTTATTAAATTTCGAACTAAAATATGTATATCGATTTATATATAGTTATACAAAGAGGAATATGTCCAATGATTGTGTTGAACATAAACTTGAGATTGGCGATTTCGCTGTTCATAATTTATTACAAGTTCCAAACAATTCTTTTAAGGTTAGGATATTACTGTACTCTAAGACTGCTGTGGCTCTAATAAACAAAATCAGTAAAAGTAGCAAACTCTAAATTTAATTACCATGCCAAAGTGATATTTTTTATTATCTCTAACGCATTCAGGATGCCCTCTGCCCCCAAAAACTGAAAACTAAAGTTCAAATCGATCGCGATGTTGCTGTTCGGATATTCTGCCGTGAAATGCCACGTGGTAACGTTAAACCTACTAACTAAGACTTAATCAACTCAATTAAGAAAGTACATTATCGTACTTACTAAGCTGCTTAAAATTGTCTTTCATAATCATGTTTGTACTATGAAGTTGGTGGAATCTCTGTTAAAGAACATTTTGAAGTTAACGTTGTACCCCTGGCTGTACGATTAACCAACCATTTATATAAAAATTTTATGAAGTTCTTTTTTCCGCATCGTTTCGAAAATTCAGATGCATCACATGATGATGAAACCGCTAGTAGACTAGGTAAAATTATTGCATATTAATATCCTGGTAATAAATATTTGATTTCACCTGTATCTGTGATAAGTTTTTATTGCGCTAACTTTTATCATCACTTTGTTGATTAGGATCTGATAGTGACTCTGATGATGACGTACGTAATAAAAATACGAATAAACTTTAGTAATTAACAAAAGTATAGATTTTAGAAATTGCTAAGCAATATTCGATTAGAAGTTCATGTGATTTGTTTAATATAAGTAGAAGTTTTAGCTAGTAAGGATTAGATAGAGATATGTTATTAATATCGCATGATACAGCTAGAACACTATAATTCTAATCACTCTTTAGATTTAGGCTGTCTTATAGTATATTAATTGACGTAAATATTGAGATAATAACTGTTCCTGTCACATTAGACAATGAGTATTATTAGTGAAAGCGGTGGAAGTAGTCACTTTAATTTTCCTTCTTCGCCAGCTGCAAGCCATAAAGAATTTGTAAGTTATTTGAATTCAGAAACTGTCATGCTTCGGTAAAGCAGACCACTACTTCCTACGCTACTATTACGTAAGTTCTTGAAAAGTACTTACCTCAACTACATCATTTTACTGAACAGCGCTATTCAAGAAGTCAAGACACTTCGTCGATTAAGAGATGCGACAGCATTGACAGTGTTCGATCCCGTGCATCTGTATCTGAAGGTAGTCATAGGAGAATTTCCTTTACACATAATAGCGAGTCTAATCAAGATCAAAAAGCCGAAAGGGTAAATGCGCACCATTTGTTATTGTTAAAGTATTGATATATGATTGACCATTAGGATCTTGTTGCTAATTGTTTGTCTACTAGAAGTGCATTAGATTTATACTGATATGGAAGTAAACTATCTTTACTTTTATATAAAAACCATAGAGCAAGAAACTCTTGAGGCGGATGTTAGATGATGAAGATGTTCTCAACAAAATGAAAGTAATCTTATACTATAAACCTAGTTAAAAATTTAAACTAAGTTTGTGTGATATTGCCTCATAAAATTGCTAAGTTCTTATTATAATTATAATATAACTGATGAATGATTATGTAATCGTAGGAGAGAGCCTCAAAAAATCAAACCTTCATTTACATTAAAATACCGCAGGTTCCCTTGCTTGTTAGTTACAAGGTTAGTATAGAACCAAACTTTGAGTATTTAAGTTTATGCTCTTTCAGTAGTTATTGTATACCTACGGTCAAGTATATGCCATGAATATGTGTATTTGTTTGATTCTAGGGTCAGAAAGACAAAAATCTAGCTGACGTGAATGACTTCAATCTAGCGCTGCCCACACTAGAATATCATAATGTTACCTGGCAATGGATTGACCTACTTTTAGCAATGAAAAAAGATTGCCGCCAGGCACTCTTGTCTCAGGTAATCCTAATTGATGTAACTGTATATTGAGCTGGATAGTATTGCATTATCAGGACTATTATTAGCACATGCGATAATAAGGGACAGATGTCCAAACAATTTTATGACTACCAACTTTCCTTGTCTACAAATCATAGCTTCTTAATTTAAAATATTTATCGTAAGCTTACATTGTACCGCTTTCATGCGTATACGCGTATTAGGCGATTAAAGAAAAATTACGATTTCGTCATACAAGTGATGGAGAATCTAACCCAAAAGATATCGACGCCTCGTAAGATGAATAGTTTATAATTTTTGTTACAGCAATGAAAGGTAATAGTTATATTCGCTAAGCTCTTGATTAAATCGTTTCTGAAATATGGATAGTAAAACATCGGACCAAGATAAGTACAGACTACTACTTGGAGTACAGGTAAGATTCATACATTAATACTTTGTTCGTTTCATTGCCGTAATAAATTTTGTAATTCTAACATGCAGGTGTTTTATCCAAACTTCCTGTCACTTACTAATGTTTTTCTGCATAGCGCGATTTTATTTTTGCAAAGGATATCTAAATGTTGTCTTGTAACCTGACCCAAGTGTAATAAAAACTTTACTATTTATACCACGCAGGATAAACCTTCCAAGAAAAAATTATCATTAAAGCTATTTGGTAAGAAAAATGCCAAGGAAAAAGATCTCAAGAGTCCGCACTCGCCGCTGCCTACGCGAGCAAATATACCCGACAGCTCTATAGGTTGACAGAGAACTTAATTTATTGGCGGAATTAGTTGTCAATTTTATGATTTTATAGCATTTTCAGTAGTGGCTATACTAGTTTATATTAAGTTGCAAATTTAGCTATAAAACTTTATCGCATACCCGGTACCTCAGAGTTCTTGTTGTTTCACTGTAAACGTGGTTTTTAGAAAGGCTTTCATAGTTCATAGATTTGTTGGATTTTGGTGTTCATCATAAGTAACTTTCAGTTCTTTTACGTTTGATTAGCAGAAAATACTACCACTAGCAAGCGAGAATCACCGATATCCAATGAATATCAAGCAAAGTCGAATAATCGCTTGGGGAAGGAAGACTATATATTGCAATCAAACAGTACAGATGTGTAGTATACAATTGTTAATCAGGTTTTCAATTGTAGATACTATGGATGTATATTTGTATACCATTACATAAATTCAATTTTAGCGAAATGTGATTCTCTCTATTTGATTAAATTATATAGCAAATGTTTACACAACTGACCACTATGTTAAACGGTATGTCTCAACTAGATATATTATAGGAGAAAGAGTACGTTTTAAGAACCATGTTTCTTGAAGTAAAAAATTAAATCATACGATGATGTATCCAAATGAAAATAGTCATGCATTCACTTTTTAATAATTAATCAATTAATTAATAATATAACAGTAAGTAGTCTATGCTGGTCGTAGTGCTTCATATCTCTATTTCTGAGATGATAATAATATAGATATCTTTGATCGATTCTGATGACTATCAATTAGTAACGACGATGATTTCATTTCTGGCGAAGAAACAGTATCCATATAGGAACTGGTTCAATCTTTATGATTAAAATAAAATTCTGTTTTAAAATTTGAAGTTGAGCTACGCATAATGAGTAGTGACTGGGAGATGAGAATGTTGGATCAATGTTTGGACCACTATTTGATGGTCATGGCGGGCGTTATACTGTATATTGTACAATGTACAAATTATACAGTACTGGTTGAAAACTATTTACTATTCAGCCATAGTGTAGGCCTTAATTAGGTCATTCATTTTAAGGCATTTACTATCAAATTCGGCTAAAATTTCACGAATCCAGATCACTCTAACCTTGAGCAATATTGGTAGAGGATGTTTTTTTTTAATTTTTACAGCATTATTGAGTTATTTTGTTTCTTTCCAATTTATATTTACAAACCATCAGTGACTACCTGCTACGCCAAGTAGTACCTGAGTCATGGCTGCTAGGGAAAATACCTGGACTGGAAACTCCTCTTTGGACGGACAGACATTTGGCCTTATTTGATCAATACTTTAAATTGTGTCAAACACTTCATTATGACAGTACTTTAGTATGCAAATAGTCGATTCTGAATGGACTGATTTTTTTCTAAATTAAGTAATGCGCATTGTATTCCATTACCTGTTACTAAGCTCTGCTGAGAAGCAGTGAATTTCGATCATAAATATTATTCAAATGAGTACGAGTGATTTCGAAAACAGACACGGAAGATTGACCGCGTAACTATTTTTCCAACATTTTCGGCGTTATCTGGTATGGAAAGTCCGTCCATCCGAGGAACGTTTCCAGTCCATGACTGAGTAGTGTTCTGGCCTGGACTGGATTACAGTAGTGCAGAGTACAGTGCTTGGTCTTGGTCGGACTACGGTACAGTAGAGTACTTCGATGTGTACCGTCCACGGCAACATTTTGTAATTCTATTTTAGCACCTACAGTATTCTAGGTACTAAAAGAGAATTCCAAAATGCCGGAGGCTACAGTGTACCGCCGATTCATCCAAAATTGGAATAAAATTCATGAAGTTTTGGCATTTTTATTTCATTTTGAAAAATTGGAGTTGAATTTCTTCACGCTACACACTACTGTACACTGTAAGCAGTCAAGTACAGTACTAAGTACAGTACTAGGGCATAAAATGGACCGGAATTCCTAATTTCTAGTACAGTGTACACTATTCAGTCAATATTCAACATAGTAAATGTTCATGCAGCTCTGGCTAGAGTGCGTCATTGAATAAAGTGAAAACGCAACCCGAACCCAATAAAACGACATGTTATGGTTGATTTTCGAACCCGAAATGACTGCAATCGCTATACAAACACTGTATCCACGATACCAATTCTGAAGGCGAATCCCCCCCCCCCAGGTTTCGGGTTGACTTTTTTTCATGCCGTCAAAACAGTGTTGTAACCCCGGGTCCAATAAGCCCAGTACAAAAATACAACTTCAACAGGCTGTAACAAAGGGTTGTAACCCAAGTCAGTAAAACCAGGCCAAACCAATTTTACCCAGTGTTTGAAAACACCGGGTAAAAGGGTCAAGAAAAAGCTGTACCCTGCCGCGCAGTGTAAAGTATGGTACTCTACAGTGTACAGTACTGTAGGTGGCAGGCATCGTACTGGATAACATGCCGTAGGCCCCCCAGCGATTCAGCCTGTCACGGTCGTGGTACAACGCGCTTCACTGCTACTGCTGTCGTCAGTACAGTATTGTTCACAACCACTGGGCCCGTAGGGTGCTCTTGGACGTGCTGCCATGGCCTACGGTACCGTACCATAGCCCGTTGTAAAGCGTTTTGTAGGGTCGAGCCATGGCATGGATTGAAGTAAACATCAGCAGTGCCACTGTATGCAATTTTCAAAGCCAATTCGGCTAGTTGGTCTAAGATTCTTTCCTTGACAATCACTGGCATCATGGATAGAGACAGAAATTATGGCGGAAGGTAAGAGACAAGGAAAATCCATCCCTTAATTTGTGATAGAGAGTAATAAACGCTAGATTAAACTCTTGATTAAAGTAGAGTAGCGCTAGAATGGATGTTGAACTCAAATTCGGACTCTTTCTTTTCCATTTTCATAATGTGGATTGGACACCTGACGCGGATAGAGGTGGTAGCGGTCAACGCTATGGCGGAGGTAGCAGGGTTCGGAAACCTTTTCCTGAAGAGCCTCCTTATACAGCTTATGTTGGTAATTTGCCCTTTAATTGTGTTCAAAGAGACCTAGAGCAAATTTTCAAGCACTTAGATGTAAGTATCTTGCACAGGCAATTTATGGTCATCCCTTCCCCATTCCAAACCATTACTGTCTCCAATGTCTTCTTTCGTCAATGGAGCAAAAGATCAACAGGGCAGGACATAGTATACTACTCTAGTCTATCTTCTTCCTCTCGTAACCAGCCCAATTCTCAGTAGACTGTCGCAGTTGGATAATGTATTAACACTTACAAGGTGTTGCTATCAATATTGAACGACAGATAGTCTTGGACATCGTCAATGAAAATTTTCTTTGCCACCATGGATTTCATTTTCTCTTCTTTGAATTTCCACTATGGACTAGCGTATACGCTACCTTGTACGTTATAGTAACTCGTTTAACTTGCCTCCATGATACCCCTTGCAATGCATTGGTCATCCATACCAGCATTGAAAATACCCGTCAACACTCATGTACCGTATCGTACATGGACCCATGTTTGGGTACATCGATAGTGACTGTCCATGCTATAGTCGACATGGTCGTACAGTACACGTGCGATTCTCACTTACTGCAGCCGACGCTGGTTGCCATGTCTTCCAACATTTTCCTTACCCTTTGCATCCTTTTCCTTAGGCAACAATTTGTCCTCTAGACTGGCTATAGCCAGCTTATGCTTTGTAAAATACGATCGTACATTACCGTACATCAAGTTACAACAATATCTATCCATCATGATGGGTTTTCATACTGTCAGTGTAGACGTGAAGAATGTACCGTAATTCATGGCAGAGACAAGATGATTCAGGCTTGTCCTGAAATGAATCAATCTCTCTTGAATTCATGAATTCATGGCCAATCGGTAGATAGCACGCCTTCAATATTGCTGGCAAATGAATCCATAAGAGCAACGATAAATCGCCCAGAAAGAAAATGTTATCTTAAATTAATTTCTTTCTCTAGCTACGGATAGAATGGACCTTGAATGCATGAGCTAAATACTGGTAATAACTTCTCCAATTGTTGACATTTTTTTTTTTTAGGTGGTTAGTGTACGTTTGGTCCGTGATAGAGAAACCGACAAATTCCGAGGTAAAGTAAACTTCTAATTCCATTTTTTCCCTAATCAGCAAGTATACTGTAAGCTTGAAAGAGGTTTATTTTTAAAATATAAACTTGGACAAATAGGACCCAACTCTTGTAGACGTGTTGTAGTAGTCGGCGATGCGATCAATGCCTTCAAACGAGTCGAGATGAATTCATTAATGACACAGAGCACAATGAAAACCTAATCATCGCACAGGATTTTCTTTACTTGACCTTGCAATTCTTTTAGTCACAAGGACAATTCATGAAGCGCAATCGTTTCAGTAGACGTGTACATAACGATAGGACCTACAACGTCATCGTAAATACGCTACCTTGACAAGTCGTGGAGAATGATACGTATCTATCATACATTCATTATACTACGGTATTTTCACTACCTTGTTCACCTAATGGCGAGATTGTCATTATCTTTACGTAAATATTTGTTAAATGAATAAGGCAATACAGTATGTGTGTAATAATCCTATAATCATCGACCCATGTAGGCCATTGTAGGGTGCCCTTGCGATGGTTTAAATGTGCATGCATGCTTGCTATCATTGGAATAGTTTGATTTTAGCCATCGATTAAAGTCTCTTCTCTCTTTGTAACTTTTCTATTCCATCATGAATACATTAAGACACTTTCGTTTCATTTTAGCCGTTTTAATAATTAGTATATATTTCATTACTCTATACAAATGCAAGTGTATCGGATGATGAATAAGCGCGTATAAAATTCCAACATTAATGACTTCCTATACTGTACTGTTTAATAACGTAATCGAGTCAGGGTATACTACATTGTATCCATTTTTTAACCATCCCCACAATGTTTGTAAATGAAATGTATCCGCTACTACTGTACAGTGTACACTAGCTGGTGCTCGTAGAAGATCATAATTGAAGTTTATTATCAATTTCCGATGCCTTTTTGGTTGTGAGAGATTCGTCACGTCAATGGATTTTCTTGACATACAAAAGTACCTTAACTACTTTTCCTCTACTACTACGGAAATTTTTCAATGGATACCTCCATTATGATTGCCTTCTTTTCCGTTTTAACATTTATGAGACGTGTTCTGTACATGGTATCAATGTTATTTAAACTCATTATATGTAGTAATGAGAAGGTAATTACAATGTCGACATTTTGTTTGAGAGTAACTAATCGCACTATGGTGCTATCTCTGGTTTTTATTATCCAGTCTTTTTTAAAATACCGTACTGTAACGCATAATTATTCTCTCACGTCAGAGTTATAGGCTGACTAAGATGAAAACATTATCAGGCTTTGATCAACTAAAATTATCGGAAGTGACTACCGTTCGACTGTTACATCATACAATATACGCAAAATACCAAATAACTGATCGCGCCACGATTGGCACATTCATAGAAGCAGTTAATTAACGTAATACATTGCCTTGGATAGATCTTGCAAGCGACATTACAACAGTAAACGGAAGCTAGATTCTGCCACAATGTGCACGTTGAACGTGATGTAGAAAATTGACTAGACATTAAATATTGATAACATTCCGCGTAATACCGCATAAAGACCGAATAGTATAAAAGTGTCTGTGCTGCATAGTACCCTTCTGACAACAATTACCGTAGACTATTTATAGTCTTAAAAAGTACAGTACCGCAATTTTGATTGCCATTGACATCGAATAACTATGTAGCATATCTGTTCTACACTTAAGACACCCTAGTTGCTTTATAAATCATAACGTAACATTCTATCTATTTTTTTAGGCTTTTGTTATGTAGAATTTTCATCACCTGAAGGATTGAAAGAAGCTCTTGAGTACAATGGATCGGTAAGGCATTCGGTGTTTTGATTTTGACAGATGAAAAACAGCAAAGCATAATGTTAATTGTAATCGATTCAATTAGTACGACGGTATATTAATTCAGATTGCTCGATTTTCCGTCAATTAAGAAATTAACTGACTATAAAAATTAAATCTCTAAATGGTACCGTAGATTATTCAGTATGTACTAGGCCTATAAATTTAGGTTGTAAAAATTTCAAAGACCGTAGCTGTAGAATACGATAGTAGTTATTATTGATGCCCACTGTTGTTTAATTAAATCTCATCTAGTAGATATAGATATTGAAACTGACTTTACAGACATTTTTTCTACTATGTTTATTATCTTGTGCGCATAAAACCTGTAGATTGAACTCAACTAGAGATTTTATTTATTAATACCCCTGCATTTCTCAATTTAATGTACAAAGTAAATATAGTTTTTAAAATGGTAGATGAATCTCTGCTGATGTTAAAACGGATTTTAAAGCGTTCAACTTTAACACTGTCTTCAATGTATTACAGGAATTTGAAAATAGAAATATAAAAGTTGATATCGCTGGTGGTAAAAGAAACGATCGTGGTGGCGGCAATGGAGATCGCGAGCGCGGTGATCGCGGTGATCGCGGTGATCGTGGTGATGGCGAAGGTAATGTTCCACTTTGATTAGGATCTAATGACTCTAACTTCAGAAATTATATTACAGTACATACTATACGATGCAATTATGGTGATTTGATGTATTCGTATATCATTAGGACAATATGGTAGAAGAGATGGTGGTCGATACCGTGATAATTCATGTCAGTAACTCTTTACTCATTGATGTGGATTGCTATTCTCTTGAATAGTCAAATATCGTCATGTATAGCTTGTGCATGACCTACAATATAAGTTTCATCTCACTAGAATCTTTTGTTTCACTAGATGGTGGCGGACGCGGAGGTCCGCGCCGCGGTGGATATCAGAATTATCGAGGTCGAGGCCGTGGCGGCAGCAGCAGCAGCAGCAGTAGGCCACCACCGGAAGAATTTCGTGAACCTTCCCCTGGTAAATTATTATAGTCGTATTTGTATTTTAAATGTGATGGTCAATTATAATAGTAGAAAACTAGCCACATTTTTATTACAGATGTTATAAATGAGATTTTAATAATGAGTCGTTTTGCAATGTTTAACGTTCACATTGCGAGTATACAGTATCATTGTACGTACGGTGTATGTGTGTAAGTAATTAATATTTTGCCAAATGAAAATTTATACCCAATATACAAGACAAAGTTGATAGCGAATCGAATACCCTAAATACTTAAAGATGTTAAATTCATTTTATATCGCTTTTTAACATTCCTGTAGAAACTGCTTCTCGTCGACCTAAGTTGAACCTGCAACCGAGATCGGTAGGTGCGCCAGCTTTATCTGTTGCTTCAGATACCAGGAACTTATTTGGAGGAGCACGGCCACGAAGCTGGAAAGATGGCAATGAAGCAGGAGACGATTAAGATGACTATTATAACGGTACTGAGCAGACTGTATTTGTACGCGTATATCTAAATATTGCTTGGTATGATGTAAAAGTAGAAAAAAATGTGCAGCTATTAGGTCGGTTTTGGTTATTTCTATGCCGGTTATGCTATCCATAATATTAAACCGTTTACTAAAATGATAGCATAAAACATCATGATCGTTAGTTATGTTGCCAATGTAGGATTCCTTACTGTATCGATACTTAAGATACTTGAAAAATCAATAATTATTACCTACAAATATTAGGGATAACTTCATTATGTTACTTTCTAGTTGTAGATGTTGAACTAAAGGCCTGAGAAAGCAATATTGTAATGCCTTTTAGCGTCATCGAATACCGTTGAACTTTCTTTCATATCATGAATGTAAGAAGTGATTATTTTAACTGTGTGATGTTATGTAGCTGTTCTCAATTCAATTTTGTAATGTAAATTTTTCCTGATTATTTGCCGAAACGATTGAAAGAGCGTTGTTTTTTATAATATTAAAAGTCAGTATGCCACATTGATGTTAACAGTCTCTATCTAGGTCTGTATATAGAGTTATCCTTATTTTACATCTATTGAATAATAAGTGCAACCCTAGCTATGCTATTAAAATCTGGAGCAACTACAAATTCATTGTCAGCGAATGAATATGGAATATCAGAGATTACTCGGTTTAAGCTAGTAGCAAAGACAGGATTATGGAACACTGATACAGCAACGAATGCTGCTTTTTATTTGTTACGCTATAACCAATGGCGAAAAATTTTCAATTACATGTTGAATAACTAAAAATAGCAAATATTTGCATGCAGATGACATCGTGGGTAATTAATTAAGACAGGTCTGTTGAACCGATACTTTGAGTTAGATATTCTTGATATAGTTGTTCCTAAGAGAAGTAGTAAATAAAAGAAAAATATATGCAGATTGAGTTTCAAAGGACTATTGACAACTCTGACGTTCTTGATAACGCTTAGTGATTTACACGTCTATCATGGCGTAATTAATGCAGTAGGCATGATTGCATATGAATATGCGATGCGTAATTCGCATCGATGTAATGGTTATTGTCAATACTGGTTAATATCGTTTAAAGATATTTGCAAAATTTAAACTTACTTTTTTAGTCTTCACATGACCAGTTACATAACTTTGAACTTCCATCATGCGTCGAATTTGTTTGCGTGACATTGTGTCTTTCAGTCTATAACAACAACGCATGTACAATATATAATCAGTATCCAATAGAAGAAGCTACCAAATTTTAATGGCATTACTATCATACTACGGTACTGTTGCATGCTATATTATTTCATCAATAGTTGCGTATGTTACAGAACGCATGTGCTGTAATACAATGAAAAATCTCAACAAACCAACGCGATCCTATATGCCGTACCTTGACATCCACCGAGATAAATAAAGTAATAATAACGATACCACAATGAAAATAATTAATAAGTTTGTTTTGTATTCCTCTGGTACGGTGTTCCATAAGTCAGTAAAATGCACCTAACAAGTACAAAAAAGTAGTTACACTACTCACATAAAGCAAACAAGAGTGGCAATGCCACTCTTAAAAATAAAAATCATTTTATTGACGACACTAATATTGATCACCTCTACTCAAAATTCATAGTACATACCAGGTATGACTTTAGTGTATCTGTTAATTCAGAACCAAGAACTTTATTAATGACTGGCAAGCTTGTAAGCCATGCAACCAAAATTAACAACGGCAATGTTAAACCAAAAAATCCGAAAATGAATCCTTTGCCACGGGCTTTTAGGTTGTACGATGAATTTTCACTGTTTACATAATCAGATTGAAACAGGTAAAAACATTGAATCATACTGTACTAACTACTCAAACATCATTGTACTGTATTTTACTGCCTAAGAAGTTATAAAATTTGCATCATACAGTACACATTACATGAATTTTGTTAATCCCTAGACTGGAATGTTAGCTTTAAGGCCAAATGCAGGCGTAAAATTAAAATTAGATAAAGGCTAACGTAGTACTCACGCATTAATCCGAAGCTTCTCGTCTACAGCATCTGCAATTTTTTGGCAGTCTTTTTCCAATGAATTTAAGGTATTTTGAATCGTCTGGCTAATTGTCTTCTCCACAGTTTTGCAAACATCTTCAATTTGATTCTCACATCTTATAGGCTAAACATAATAACACATGGATTTCACCTATCACTGTCCTAATAAAAACGACTTCTAATATACATTAGTACACTAATCCTACTGCGTACCTTGCCTGAGGTCATAGACGGTACATAAATTGTCGGCATATCAAACCCTGTCTTATTTAATCCAGGCCGTTTGCATAGTTCTTGAGTAATTTGCATCATAACCCGCTGAAAGAATAATCCAAATTTAAAATTATCCTGGATCTTCATATAATCGAATTAATAGTGATGAATTGTAATAAACGCCCAATTGGGGCCCTTTTGAAATGATTTTTTACAAGTACTAGCATAAAGCTTATCAGATAGAACTACTGTAGAACTTGCCTGCCTATCCGTTTCTGTCCCGGCTGTATCTGCCTTACTTAAATAAAATCGAAGGCGATCTCCATGCTTACCATTTAAAGTTTCTGCAATTCGGATATCGAGTGTGATAAGTATGCTAGCATTACCAAAAATTAATTAAGATTGAAAATGTTTTGCTACTTACGAACAATATTGAGTGTTCTCTTACAAAGAGCTTGACCAATTGGATCAAAAAAGACAAAAATCAAATCTGCCATGTTGCCTAATGAATAAATTAAATTATACATAACAACAGTATGGTCAAAAACATTGTAAATGTTGCAATTCCAGGTGTGACTCATGCTTCAAGGCAATTTTACTTTACTATCAATAAATCCAGGACAATTCTATTAGAGGTGAGCATCCTATAAGAAATGTTGTCCTAGCAGTCGAGCATAGATCAGTGAATTTTACCTAGCCATTCGATTGTTTTGTCTACATCAAATGGATACAACATATCGCCATCCACTAAGCCAGGAGTATCAATAAACGTAATTACGGAGAATTTCTTTTGCTTAGAAGTAGAAATTTCCGTTGTCAAATATTCTACTACGCCTAATAAAGTCAATCCATTCAAAAATTCTGTCCATTAATACTGATTCACCCACATAATTATAGCCATATCTAATATAAATATACAACGATATATCTATCTTTAGAATGCTTTAAATTAGAAGTTTACCTTCGAATCTTTGTAGGGGTTTAAAGTGCGGATATAAATGTAAAGTAGCATTACCCTATATTATACCAAGCAATAAAAGCGAATTACATGGATTAGTCAACGTTACCAGAGCGAATACGTAGTTTTCGATGCTTAGTAAGAAGGAGTTACTTTATACGTACTGTAGTTTACGTAAATCCGTATATTTAAGTAGTCATTACTATTTCATTTCATGAAGCAATGTTTAAAAGTCGAATACACTTCTATCATTTAACCCTGTATTAGCCAGGAAAATTTTCTTACAGTTAAAGTTTCACGTTTCTTGCCGCTAGTAACAAAAGTAAACCCTTGCGTTTCTATTGCAACTCCAGTTTTTTGAACATGTTCCTCGACATACCTAGTAACAGCATTCAATTTATTCTTTATTATTTATCCATAATAATTATACGCTATCATTACTAAATACTGCATGAATACCATAACTGAATTCTCTATCATGAAATTACTGTTATCTTAACCATTCGCCTATTTGCTGTATACAGTAGCTCTACATCTGTTGGCATTCGTAATCGATTCGATATGAACAAATAGTTGTTGCTCACCAATTAATAAAGGATGATTTACCAGCAGAGTGATTACCAATCAGTAAAACTGTAATTTTATTTCGAGGGGTTAATAAAGACAGATCGAGGCTTTTAGCCATGGAAACCAAGCCTATATACAGTGATAAAAGTAATGTAAAATTGCATGTATTGGTTAGAAGGCATTACAGATGGTTACTTGTAAAGCCACTATTGAAACATTACGAAATGCATAAATTTATTCTAAATGGCAATCCTAATAGCAATTCGTTAAGGCCAGCATAGGTACGAAACATAGTTATATAGCTACTGCTCAAGATGGCAATAAACATATCACCCTTTCGATCAAGAAGTGTTGATGACGACAGCATGCAAGAGTTGAGATACTATGTTTTTCTCACATTGTGGTGTTAGTAGCATGTACTCTACTGTATGGGAAACTATTGATTGATTTGGGCTGGGATATCCGGTAGCAAAAGCCCTTTACTGGTCTTCAATGATGATCGTCAAATGGATTAATTTATGGCGAAGATGCTGATACTTTCAATTAAATTTTGATTGCATCCTGGTATGGAAAGCGATACTATAATGACCTACGAGTATAAATAAGAATTAGCCTTGATGATCCAGCACTGCAGCCAAGTTATCCAAGGTCATTTCCGTGTGTCATTCAAGGCTACAAGGATAGATTGCAGATATGGAAGGCAATAAAATGGGAAGTCATGGATCGTCTCCAATCAATCGATCAGCCTATAGAGGTCTTTTCTTACCTCGATGGATAGGACTATCGAGTATCGACTGTGGTATAATTTACAGCTAGTCTAATTCTCAATTAGCATCAGTTAGATAAACTATTTATTGTACTGTTGGATGATGGATTGGACGTGCCCATCCAATGCTGAATTATGCAGTCATGACAATCATTTCTACTAACTGATGGCGATCGCATGATTAACTGCTCTTCTTCCTATTTTATCATGAAAGTACAATCTTCTAGTAGTCCCTGGTGCAAGTATGCTAAACTGTTGATATTATCAGTGTATCTTATCCATCCATACCAAAGGCTACCGATCAATGAAGCCGAAGTAGATACAGTAAATGCTTTTGTTACCATGGGAGACATCAAGTGATCAGTTGAATGAGTTGGTCTGCACTGTCATTGTCCAATCATTTCAATATTTGCAAACTACACCATTGGATTAAGCCTGCAAATCAACTGACGACAATAATAATTCACTCTTTCCCATTTCATCATTATCCATAGAGATTGGTATAAATAAATTAAAAAGTGCAAGATGAAATGGACAGCAGAATGCATTGGCAACCGCCGTTTTTCAAATCATTCCATGATTACAGTGCAATCATCAACGATTATGACAGGAGATGATCAAGGAGATTGTGGACGTATTTTATCTGTATCGAAGGGAGAATTCACCTTTATCCTGATCTGCATAGAGCCCATGGCATTCTCGTAGTATCCTCTCATTTAAGGATAGTGTGGCTTTTTCGGTAGGATTGGAAGATATTCGTTGCTTCTTGGACATTTTCTCTTGGTGGTGGAAAGGATTTCTATTCCCTGTCGAGCAACGATTGAACAGAATGGATCGCTGCGATTTGACTTCACCCGAGGTACTGTAGGTTACAGTACGACGTACTGTAGTTGGGTTCACTTATCAAAATAGATGTCACCCTCTGGCACTATAGCATCGCCATTCCAAGGCAATGATAGGCACATTATAGTGACATTGATTTGGTTCACTCACCTTATCAAAGCTATAGTATCGTATTGGATAATTGAACAACTTGTTATCCGTTCCAAGTCAAATGGATGTCATCTTCAAATGTGTCTCTAGTATGCTATGACGGACATCTCTTTCACTCAGCTTGAGAATACTGTGTAGTGTGCTGTACTGTACAGTACTAAAAAAGACAGGGCACGCTGTGTCCAGCATCATAAACTGACGTTTTGGTACCGTACCGTACCGTACCATAAACTGAAGCTTTGGTACCGTACCGTACCATGAGTGAACTGCACTATGGACTGAAGCAAGAAGGTTCAGGCCAGATTGGCAGTGGTTGGTTGACTGCACTTTGAACGCGCTCAGGCAAATCCTGTTGTCCAAGAGTGCGCAGGTGTCGACCGGTGACGTGTCGACGTGTATTTGACGTGACGTGTAACAGTGCAGTACTGTAGACCACGAAGGTCTCTTAGCTCATACTGTACATTAGAATATCAGATGATCGCATAATTAACACTACGGCCATCTTGGTCTGTTCAAGCACTAGTCCAATAATCATCAATCCTATGTTAAAATGACTGCAAATCCTGTTGTCCAAAAGTGCGCAGGTGCCGACCAGTGACGTGTACAGTGCAGTACATTACTGTACTCGGACTGTGGACTCGATACTAGATCACGAAGATCTCTTAGCTCATACTGTATTACAATACCAGATGATCCCATAATTAGCACTATAGCCTCCTTGGTCTGTTCAAGCACTAGTCCAATAATGAATCCTATGTCAAAATGACTGCAAATCCTGTTGTCCAAAAGTGCGCAGGTGCAGACCAGTGACGTGTACACTGTACAGTGCAGTACACTACTGTACTCGACTGTGGACTCGACACTAGATCACGAAGATCTCTTAGCTTATACTGTATTACAATACCAGATGATCCCTTAACTTTAAACTAGCACTACGACCATCTTGGTCTGTTCAAGCACTAACTAATCCAATAATCATGAATCCTATCTCAAAATGACTGCAAATCTTGTTGTCCAAAAGTGCGCAGGTGTCGACGTGTACTGCGCAGTACACTACTGTACTCAGTGAGTTTCAGTTTACTCTACAGTACTATGGACTCGACACTTGACCAAGAAGATCTCTTAGCTCATACTGTATTAGAATATCAGATGATCCCATAATTAGCACTATAGCCTCCTTGGTCTGTTCAAGCACTAGACCAATAATCATCAATCCTATGTTAAAATGACTGCAAATCCTGTTGTCCAAAAGTGCGCAGGTGCAGACCAGTGACGTGTACAGTGCAGTACACTGCTGTACAGTACTCGACTGTGGACTCGACACTAGATCACGAAGATCTCTTAGCT